GAGTTTTTTCCTTCTCCAGATCCTATCTTGCAAATCTTTGATTGGGTTGATTTCTCTTTGTATAACCCAAGGACCTGTAATTTTTTTTTTTTTTATCAAAGTTGCCAGTGCCAACATGGGTTCAATCTGAAGACAGAGATAATTATCTGCTGTGTTCTGGTACATCCTGGTTACTTTTTCTAGGATTTCTGACTTAAGTACTGTTGCCTTCCCAGGGGAGAGGATCTCTGTGACCATTTGTTTCTGTGGGAACAGTTGGTATGTCATGAACTTCCTCACTTGATTGGTTACTGTGTCATTCATAATGGCAGCTGGTCATCAGGCTGTCAGGGAGGAAAAAAGCCGTCTGTTGTGTTTAAAGATTTTGTATGCTTGTTAGTCTGAGATCCTTGCTCTAATTTTCTGTCTTGCAAATTTTGTTAATGCTAGTCTCAGAGAACTTTCCTTTAAGTATTTACAGCAGCCGGGATCTGAGTGCCAGGGGGAAGATGTAAGGGATTTGGGAAACAATTCATCAATGTTACCTCCAGAATAATCTTGAATCCACCCACTTCACTTTACCATTTTATTCAAAACCATTATACACATTTGACTGCACCAGCCTCCTCACTGGTTTACCTGATGCTACCATTCCTCCTTCCCTCCCCTCCAATTCATCCTTTGCTTAGTAGCCAAAGGAATATATAGCTATATATTTTTACATTTTAAAAGGACGGGTGTATTACATAAAAATAAAGGAAAAGAAGATGCTTGCACAAACAAGTGGATGGGAAGAGCTGCTGCTGCTGTTTTGCAAGAGGAAAAGATTTGTGAAAAGAAACACCTGTGTAGTCACAGGCATACAGGCAAGCTGCCGTCAAAAGGATATTTTTAAAATCTAAATTGTAGTCATGTTCCAGTTCTTTTCGTAACCCTTTAGTGGACTTCTTATTTTTCTTAGGTTAAAAATACAATTTAGCATCCAAGAAGGTCCATAAAGGCATTTGAGTCTTGTTTATTTCCCTATTCTCAGCTCCTGCTCACTTCATTCCAACATCGGCCTCCTTCATTGCCAACTCTTTGTAACCCTAATCCCCTCCTCTACATATCCCAATTCTTTACCTCAGAACTTCCTTCTCACCTATTAAGTCTCAGTTTAAATATCACCTCTTCAGGCAGACTTTCCTTGGCCACCCAAACCAGTCTATAATTATTATTCTGAGTCTGTTGCCCTCATAGTCCTAATCACAATCCCTATTTTATTTGTCTGATTAGAACTATATTTACAAGATTTCCTCCTAGGATATAAACTACAATATGGGAGGGACTATCTCTGTCTTTGTCACCACCATTAATAGTGGCTATTTGTCCTTCACCCAAAAGACATCCCCAGTTGCTTCAGGGGGTGCTCGCCTAAGGCAGGCATAGTGGCCTCATGTTCCAAGGTCTTACACATCCTTTCTCTTGCCCTATACACAGTCAAGTCAGGTACTGGGTCTAATCTCAATCGGTCTGTTCTTTCGAGAACTTTGACTCTTGGATGGCATGATGCAGGGTCACTAAAAACTGGAGCTGGTTCCTGCTACTCAGGACCTGTATTGCTTACTTGTGTCCCAACTTTTCCAAATCGAGTTCCCCAGTCTTGACTGTGACACTGGGCCTTCCCTAATGGCTTCCTAGTTAATTTCCTTTGTATAAAAGATTGCCAGATCAGTTTGCTGTTTGAAATAAAAGAGATGGACTGGAAAGATTAAACTGTATCTTCACAGTCTACTGTAAAATGGCATTGGTCAATAAATACTAAACAAAATACTACCCAGGTATGTTGCTTAAAAGTGGTTATTTAATATCTCAGAGCCTCAGTTTCTTCCTCTGTCAGTAGGCCATATATGATCTGGCTTCTCAGGAGAAAAACTGCCTTTTCTCCTTTATTATCTCTGTTTGATTCTCTACCCTTTGTCCTCAGCTTTAGCAACAAAACAATTCAACCCAACTCAGTCCAACCCAATCCAAATTCCTCTCATTTTCTCTGGCTGAGCAGTTTAACCACAATATCAGAGCCTGGATATGCCATTTACTAGACAAATTATTACATATCTTTGTGCCTCAATTTCTTTATGAGTTTGTGGTGATGGGGAAATATAATGTCTTTAATTTTATATGCATTATTTATATAGGCATGCATATATACAAATACACACATACATATAGTGAGATCAAACTTGTAACATAAGCACTTACAATAATACTTATCACATCATAAACACACAATACTTGTTAGCTATTTTAGCATTTTTACCTGTTTGATGAAAAAATGAATACTTATGCTTTCAGGGTAGTGTTCCAACTAGTGTTCCAAGTGATTCTGACGTTCAGTAGTCTTTTATTTTTGCATAGAGGCACTGGGGTCTAGGCCAGAGGTGGGGGCAGTAAGAGGATTCATCAGAGACAGAGGAGCAGAACAGGCAGATTGACTGAAATACACTGCTGAGGGGAGCAGCAGACAGGATAGGTTGGCTGCGCCATGTGGGTCTCCTCCCTGGCTGGGGATCAAACTTGTGCTGTGGTGCATAGTGCTGTGGTTTAACCCCTTGCAACACCAGGGAGGGCCCCATTTGTGAATCTTTTCCTGGGATATGTTTATTCAAATTTTTTTGCTCATTTTTGATTTTTTTTTAACTGAATTGTAAGAGGTTTTACATGTTCTGAATGAAAGTCTGGTCAGATTTTTTCCCAGCTATTCCATTCTGTAGGTTGTTTTATCGTTTTTTTAAAGATTTATTTATGTATACAGAACTGGGGTACAGGCCAGAGGTGTAGGGGCAGTGAGAAAATTCACCAGAGACACAGAGGGGAGCAGAACAGGCAGATAGACCAAATACACAGCTGAGAGGAGCAGCAGGTGGGTCAGGAGAGGTCTTGCTGAGCCTTGTGGATCACCTCCAGGGCTGGGGGCTAGGGATTGAACTGGCACTGAAGCAGCTGAGGCTTGCTTGCAGTGCTGCGCTTTAACCCATTGCGCCACCATGGAGGGTCTCCTGTTTTTTTTTTTTTTTTTTTTTTTCTTGATAGTGACCTTTGGAAACACAAAGGTTTTCAATTTATGATGAGATTTATTTTTTCTTTTATTGCCAATGCTTTTTGTATTACCTAAGAAACTATTGCCTAGGTCAATGTCATGAAAATTGACTCCTATATTTTCTTTGAGGAGTCTTACAGTGTTAGCTCTTGTAGTTAAGCCTATTAATCCATTCACATTCATGTTTAAGCCTCTGGTTTGTCTCATACCTTTGACCCACAATAGCTAATCACTGTTATTCTCAAATAAAGACAATCCTCACTCTAAGAAGAAAAGCTTAAACTATCTGTTAAAATAATGTAAATAATATTACAACAGCTAAGATGTAAATTGAGCACTTTTGGTGCTAAGCGTTTTTCACTGATAGCCTTGTTCAAACTCCACTATGAGATTTGTGCCATAATCATCTCCACTTTTCATGATGATATACGACACATATCTCCTCTTTTATGTAAAAGGGGATACCAACACTTACATCTTTGGGAAGAAAGCCTGAATAGACTACATAATCTAATGTGCACTAAAAATATGACAGCGTTTGGCAGAGCAGGGCTCAAAGGATAAGAGTACCTCTTTTATGATTCCTTCCTCCACTAGAGCCCTCCCCTTCTACTTCTCTCATCATGGTTTGTGATTTTATTTTTACTTTTGTTATTCTTAAGAGTATTACATCTCTTCGGTTACTCTACAATGGCCATAAAGACAGAACTGTGTCATTGCTGTATTCCCCAACACCCTATATAGGACTTGGGGATACATTGACATTTGAAAAAACATCACTTTTCTGCTTTAAAGTTCTCTAACTGCACACAGATTGCTCTTTGAATAAAGCCCAGGTTCCCAATCATGCCAAAGATCCCCACCTGATTAGCTACCTGTCTTGAAATTCACAGCTCTAACACTCTTCCACCTGGACCATATTTGTTTGCTTTCTCAAACACACCTTGCTGTTTCCTGACTCAGAGTCTGTTCCCTTTGCTTGAAAACTGATTAGTTTCTCAACCTGTAGGTCCCAGCTCACATGTCATCTCTTTTCAAAGTCTTCTCTGTCCACAGTGTGTGAACTGTTCACAGGTATGAAATTTCCTTGTACATTTATTTCATATTAATTATTATAGTAGAACTCACGATAAGCACTAAGGAAGTGGTATGTTGCTTAGTGCTTATCAATGAATTCTCCAAACTCTAAAATCCTGATTTGTAGTGTTCGCATTTCTGTAGTGTAAACACTCCCATTGGGAGGGAGTTCAAGCTACCAAGCTGAGGTCAATGAACAGTGATCCAGGGAGAGAAGTGCAGCAGCACATCATAATATAGTATTTGAAATACTGATACAGCAGTGGCAAATAACCTCAATTGCATTCATGATACAAAGATGTATAAAATAACTAGGAAATTACTTGTTTTGAGTACTTATTGTTTTGTTTTAAACATTTAATTGTAATATTTTCAATTTAATTTTAAAAATGGTTGTTTTAAAAGCGGCAGGCAAAATTTCTAAACATTTCCTGGTCGTCTCTAGAGAGCTGACAACCAGCACATTTTCAGATGAGACTCAGAAAGGTTAAGCAAATCGTTTAAGGTCGCAAAGCTAATAAATCTATAGACTACCCCGGAATCGTCTATCCACAGAAGCTACTGTTGTGCGTGACAAATATTGTAGAATAAATGATTATTTAGTATTTTTAAAAGATAAAACATTTAAATATTAAAAACATAAGAGCAAAACTGACAACTCTGTAACCTGCGCTCACGAACCAAAGCACAAGGTAAGTGCTTCTGCTTGTGGCTACTTTAAGCCGTAATCCAGCCCAGAGCGGTTTCACAATTCACCAGTATTGGAGGAATCGCCCCGCCCTTTGCTAAAAGTTTGCGACGCCCGGCTTTTTGTCGTTCGCCCATTCTCCCTGCAAGGCATTCTGGGAGTGGTAGTTCGTCCATTCTCGCTGCAAGGCTTTCTGGGAGTGGTAGTTTCAAAAGCGTGACAGCCTCGGCTGCAGCCACTGGCCGCGCCTAGCCGCGGACTACAGACCGTGGCACGCAGAACTCCGGGCTCTTCCGCCTCGACTTTAGCTCCCTGCCTGCGCGCCCGCCCCAGCTATCATGGCGGCTCCCTTGGCCCTGGTGCTAGTGGTGGCAGTGACCGTGCGGGCGGCTTTGTTCCGCTCCAGCCTGGCCGAGTTCATCTCCGAGCGCGTGGAGGTGGTGTCCCCACTCAGCTCTTGGAAAAGAGGTGAGGCCACCGGCTTGAGTAGGCGGCCTGGACTCCCCTGTGCTCTCCTGGCCTCTGTGAATGAGAGGCGGGATCTGTGGCTACAAGCTCAAGATTCTGAGGGGACAGACCCACTCCTGGGGGGCGGGGCAGGCGGGGCAGCTGAGAGGCGGGGGCTTGGGGTAGTACGGTGCAGGGTAGACTGGGGAGACAAATCCCCTGAAGAGTGGGGACCTGAGGGGGTGTGTCTCAAGCTGTGTCCGGAGCTGAGGGGCGTGGTCTGAGGAGGGGTCGGAGGAACGAAGGCGTGGTGGGTGGAGTGGGGTTTGCTAATGGGTTCGGGATTTGGCTTGGATTGCAAGTAGTGCTCCCTAGGGTATGAGTTAGTGCGTGAGAGGTGAGAGGGGTCGGACTGAAGGGACCAGCTTGCTAAATGAAGTGGGGTTGGGAGTGTGGTTAGAAGCTTCTTTTCAGCCTGGGACTTAAATGTTTCTTCTTTAAGTTCTTCAAACTTCGTTTTACACTAGCGCCTACTAGGAGACAGAATTTGTGCTGAAGGAGTCACTGGCTAATGGGAGAAACAAATAGTCATTTATGGAAAGTGTACTTCTGGGTACTTTCAGTTCTTTAGAATTCTGACCTGAAGAAACTGCCATCCCCTTTTCCACTTTCCTAAGAATGTAAATGGAATGAAGTGTTGAAGGATGTAAAATGTCCCAAGTAGAGGGCACGCCCAGATGGCACAATGGGTTAAAGACCAGCACTGTGAAGCCGTCCACAGACACTGCAGCACAGGTTCATTCCTGGCAGGGAGGTGACCCACATGGTGCAGCAGACCTCTCCTGATCCATCCACTGCCCCCCTCAGCGGTATACTTCCTAGATCTGCCTGTTCTGCTCCCCACTGTCTCTGGCCTGCACCTCTGGCCTGTGCCCCAGTTCTGTATGTATAAATAAATACATCTTAAAACAAAAAAAAAGCCCCAAGTAGAGTAATAGAGTAATAGAATGGGGATAAGATTAGGAGTAGAATTGGACGATTTTAATAATTTTTTTTTTACCAAAGTACAATATCCATACAATCTACATATATTAATGAATGTTCACAAACTATACTTATGTAGACTGCACCCATTGCAAGACACAGAACACTCCAGTAACTCAGCAGTCCCTTTCATGTCCTCGAATGAAATGCTAGTTTTGATGTTATTCCATTGACATCTTGCAGTGGTCATGGCATAATAAATGGTTGTTTTATGAATACTTTATTTTTTAAGATTTAAAAAATTTATCTATGCATATAAGAACTGGCATGTAGTTCAGAGGTGGGAGTTGGAGGGTTCACCAGAGAGAGAATGGGGAGCAGAACAGGCAGACTGACTGAAATACACTGCTGAGGGGAACAGTGGGTGAGGCAAGAGAGGTCTGCTGTGCCATGTGGGTCAGCTCCCAGGGCAGGGATCGAACTAGTGCTGCAGTGTCTGTGGATAGCTTCATAGTGCTGTGACTTATCCCCTTGCACCACCAGGGTTCTAGAGCTAAGGTTTTCAAAAATACTTTATTATCAGAGGCTATAACAGCCTCATTTTATCCTCCTATTCTATGTAAGAGAGGGTGCTATTTTCCCCTATTTTATATATGAGAAAACAGATTTAGAGAAATAAATGGTTTGCTTAGGTCTCCTTATAATTGCATATAATTATTTGTTGAACAAACAGAATTGTTGGCTGAGGCTGCTTTGTTCCTGCTTTCTTTTGGATACCAGAAGACCCAAGACAGTGTTAGGTTCTCCTGCTCTCTTAGCTCTTTCCCTATACCACAATTAAAGAGCATTTTTTACTTTATGTCTAGTTTTTCTACTGTACCATGAGCTTCTGGAAGGTCAAGATTGTTTTATTTATTCCTGAATTCTTTGTGACTGGCATAACGTAGGTACAGTTACTATTGATTATATACTGAAGAAAAGAAAACCTAAGATCTAAGTTACTTAGAGGACAGACAGGGTGAAGGATCCAAAGATGAGGCATTGTAGTGTGATGGTTAAGAGGACAGGATTTAGAATCTCAAAAAGGGTTTGACTTTTTTTTCTGCTTCTGTCACTTACTAGTTCTGTGATCTTTATTTTTTAGTTAAAAAAAAAGATTTATTATGCATTAAAGAACTGGGGTACAGGTTAGAGGTACATGGGGGTGAGAGGATTCACTAGAGACAGACAGGGGAATCGAACAGGAGGACTGACTGAAATACACTGCTGAGCAAAGCAGTGGGCAAGACAGGAGAGGTCTGCCATGCCATGTAGGTCAGCTCCCATGTGAATCGAACTCATGCTACAGTGACTGCCAATGGCTTTATAGTGCTGTGTTTTAATCCCTTGCACCACCAGAAAGGGCCCTAGTTCTGTGACCTTTAATGGGAGTATTTTCTGTCTGTAAAGTATTAAGTTATAATTTATGTATCCATAAAATAAAATAATCCATGTTGAGGCTCTTAGCACAATTAACAGAATCCAAAATGACTAATTCTAAGTGTTTTGACTTTATTTTTTTTAACAATTTATTTATTTATACATACAAGTGTAGGCCAGAGGTGCAGGGGCTGGATGCGAGGTGAGAAGATTCACCAGAGACAGAGTAGGGAGTAGAATAGGCAGAGCCACTAAAATACACTGCTGATGGGCGCAGCCCGTGAGACAGAAGAGGTCTGCTGTATCATGCGAGTCACCTCCCAGGCTGGGGATTGAACTCAGGTTGCAGTGGTTGGCTATAGCTTGATAGCACTGTCTTTAACCCCTGTGCCACCAAGGAGGCCTCCTGATTGTAAATGTTTTTTACATCAGGTTGATTTCATTCCTTAGGTTAATTAATATGAGGTCATTTTTAATCATATTTAATAATCAAGATAGCAGAACCACCAAGTTCCAGGCACTTGTCTGAGAATATATTAATAAATTCACAGGTGTTCAATATCTAACAAAAGTGTATCTGAGAGAAATTATATTTTAGACAGATTGTCTCAAAGGTGAATAGTTTGTCCTCTAGCTATATAACCACAATCTCCCTCTGGATTAAATTAGTTTAAAATGAGATCCTTAGACATCATTTTATAGGTCCTCTGTAGAGTTACCTTTACTGTTCTGTGATAGGATGCCATTGATTTGGGGTGAGAGATGTCTTGTGAAGTGTCCTAATGAATCATCTCCTTGGGCCTTCAGGAAAGCTATTAGTGAAGGATTTAATAGTTATGTTACATAGTAACCTCTTTATGGAGCTCCTTGAGGGAAGTTTCTTTCTGATGATAGAATAAGGACCAATTACAATTGTCTTAAGCAACCAGCTTTGTTTTATTTATGGATTCTGTGAATTGTTTGTGTAACTGATTGTTTCCTGCTAGGGTGAGTCTGTAAAGTTTCATCTTTTTTTTATGGTCCACTTATTACAAATAAATACATAGTTTTTTTGAACATGTTTTATAAGTTTAATTTTATTTGTTTGATTTATTTTTGAATAGGTGAATTCATGTGGTTCAAAAATCCAAGGTGCAAAAAGTTGTATGATTAAAAGGCACCCCTCCACTGCTTTCCTATAAACACCCAGTTCTGTTTCCTGGAGGCAATCATTATTATTAGTTTCTTATGTATACTTCGGAGATATTTTATGCTTACAGTGTTATACATTTTATAGGTTTTTGTGACTCCACTTTTTTATGTGTTGTTACTTTTTAAATTACTTGTCCTGTTTCTTTTTAATGGCTATAAAATAATACATATCCATGCTAAAGGTTCAGAAAATGAAGATTAAAAGAAACTAAGCATCTTCTGTAATCTTATCATCTAGACATGGCCATTGTTAACATTTTTATGTTTATGTTTATTTTGAGGCATTGTTCTTTGAATATGTATTTATTCCCTTAAAAATAATTAAAGGAACAGATGCTTATAAATATTTAAAATAAAATTTGATCATGTTATGATCTACTTTTCATTGAAGGTTACTTCAAGGGCATTTTTCCATCAGTAAATATGTTGTTGGTATCCCTTTTAATTTTAACTCCTCTTTTTGAAATAATTTTAGATTTTAAAAAAGTTGTAAGATAGTACATAGTTTTGTTCACTCTTCACCCTGCTTTTCTTCCAATGTTAATATCCTGTGTAACCACAGTATAATGACCTAAACCAGAAAATTAACTTTGATAGAGTACTATCTATAGATCTTATTAGAATCTTACCAATTGTTCTACTAAACCTTTTTGTGGAATCAATCCATGATTCCACATTATATTTACTTATGTAGACATCTCCTTGGATTTTAACATTTTTAACAGTTGCTTGCTAGTTATTTGTCTTAGTTTAGGTTTGCCTGGTAGTTACCCATGATTAGATTAACATGCTTTGCTGGCAAGAATACACATTTATGGCTGAGGACCACAAGTGTTTTTATCCGTTATTTCAATGACTCATAAGAGGAACTATTTTTGATGTTAATAATTTTAAATGATCAACATATTGCTGGTGTTGTTAACTTTGTTGATTTAACTTAGGTAATGAATGCTAGGTTTATCCACATGAAATTTTTCTTTGTCATTTTTTTAAAGCAGATTTATTTATATATGTGTACAAAATTGGGGTGTAAGTCAGAGGTGCTGAGGGGTGAGAGGATTTACAGAGACAGAGTGGGGAAAAGAACAGGCAGAAGTAACAAAATACACTGCTGAGGGGAGCAGTGGGCAGCATGGGTGGGTGAGACAGAAGAGGTCTGCTGCACTGCGTGGGTTAGCTTCCTGGCCAGCCTGGGATGGAATTCAGGCTGCAGTGGCTGCCTATAGCTTCATAGTGCTGTCTTTAACTGTTGTGCTACAAGGGAGGCCCCCCATCATATTTTTACCCACCAATTTTTTTTATCCATTGATGATGCTTACCATTCATAATTATTACTGAGGGCTCTGCCAGATGGTGATTTTCTATTTCCACCTTTCCTTTTACATTTGATAATTTAGAATTCTAACGAAGAGCTTTCTTTTCTCTTCCACTTACATATATCAAAGAGTGATTTTTTTTT